GGTTACCTCATAGCTGGCGGTACTACATATCCAGCAGCACCAACACTGTACTTGGCATACTTACAACAGTAACAGAGTAATGGTTACCTCATAGCTGGCGGTACTACATATCCAGCATTACCAACACTGTACTTGGCATACTTACAACAGTAACAGAGTAATGGTTACCTCATAGCTGGCAGTACTATATCCAGCAGTACCAACACTGTACTTGGCATACTTACAACAGTAACAGAGTAATGGTTACCTCATAGCTGGCGGTACTATATCCAGCAGTACCAACACTGTACTTGGCATACTTACAACAGTAACAGAGTAATGGTTACCTCATAGCTGGCAGTACTACATATCCAGCAGCACCAACACTGTACTTGGCATACTTACAACAGTAACAGAGTAATGGTTACCTCATAGCTGGCAGTACTACATATCCAGCAGCACCAACACTGTACTTGGCATCAACAGTAACAGAGTAATGGTTACCTCATAGCTGGCGGTACTACATATCCAGCAGCACCAACACTGTACTTGACATACTTACAACAGTAACAGAGTAATGGTTACCTCATAGCTGGCGGTACTATATCCAGCAGTACCAACACTGTACTTGGCATACTTACAACAGTAACAGAGTAATGGTTACCTCATAGCTGGCGGTACTATATCCAGCAGTACCAACACTGTACTTGGCATACTTACAACAGTAACAGAGTAATGGTTACCTCATAGCTGGCGGTACTACATATCCAGCAGCACCAACACTGTACTTGGCATCAACAGTAACAGAGTAATGGTTACCTCATAGCTGGCGGTACTACATATCCAGCAGCACCAACACTGTAACTTGACATACTTTACAACAGTAACAGGTAATGGTTACCTCATAGCTGGCGGTACTATATCCAGCAGTACCAACACTGTACTTGGCATACTTACAACAGTAACAGGTAATGGTTACCTCATGGCTGGCGGTACTATATCCAGCAGTACCAACACTGTACTTGGCATACTTACAACAGAAACAGGTAATGGTTACCTCATAGCTGGCGGTACTATATCCAGCAGTACCAACACTGTACTTGGCATACTTACAACAGTAACAGAGTAATGGTTACCTCATAGCTGGCGGTACTATATCCAGCAGTACCAACACTGTACTTGGCATACTTACAACAGAAACAGAGTAATGGTTACCTCATAGCTGGCGGTACTATATCCAGCAGTACCAACACTGTACTTGGCATACTTACAACAGTAACAGAGTAATGGTTACCTCATGGCTGGCGGTACTATATCCAGCAGTACCAACACTGTACTTGGCATACGTTTTTACAACAGTAACAGGTAATGGTTACCTCATAGTTGGCGGTACTACATATCCAGCAGTACCAACACTGTACTTGGCATCAACAGTAACAGAGTAATGGTTACCTCATAGCTGGCGGTACTACATATCAAGCAGTACCAACACTGTACTTGGCATCAACAGTAACAGAGTAATGGTTACCTCATAGCTGGCGGTACTACATATACAGCAGCACCAACACTGTACTTGGCATACTTACAACAGTAACAGAGTAATGGTTACCTCATAGCTGGCGGTACTACATATCCAGCAGCACCAACACTGTACTTGGCATACTTACAACAGTAACAGAGTAATGGTTACCTCATAGCTGGCGGTACTACATATACAGCAGCACCAACACTGTACTTGGCATACTTACAACAGTAACAGAGTAATGGTTACCTCATAGCTGGCGGTACTACATATCCAGCAGCACCAACACTGTACTTGGCATACTTACAACAGTAACAGAGTAATGGTTACCTCATAGCTGGCGGTACTACAATCAACAGTAACAGAGTAATGGTTACCTCATAGCTGGCAGTACTACATATCCAGCATTACCAACACTGTACTTGGCATACTTACCGGACACATTGTGAGTCTTCACCTTCAGGTGTGCCATGCCCAGGCTTGCACGTGTATACACAATACGTACAACCTGTCACCTGTCCTGTGTTAGACCGTCGGGGGAGTTTGTCCTGGGACAGAGTTGGGCGCTACAGGTACGGTGATCGTGACTTATTCTCTTCGTAATTCACAACTTAGTCGTATATGAAATCCTGTGTTGTATTGATACTCGTATTTCTTGTGAATGTTCCATGTCGTCCTCTATGTCTGTTGTTAGCATGGAACGATGAAACATATGGTGGCATGGTTGACGTGATAAGGCAGGGTTGACGTGTTAATGCAGGGTTGACGTGTTAAGGCAGGGTTGACATGTTAAGGCAGGGTTGACATGTTAAGGCAGGGTTGACGTGTTAATGTAGGGTTGACGTGTTAAGGCAGGATTGACGTGTTAAGGCAGGGTTGACGTGTTAAGGCAGGGTTGACGTGTTAAGGCTGGTTGTGTTAAGGCAGGGTTGACGTGTTAAGGCAAGGTTGAGTTAAAGGCAGGGTTGACGTGTTAAAGGCAGGGTTGACGTGTTAAGGCAGGGTTGACGTGTTCAGGCAGGGTTGACGTGTTGAGGCAGGGTTGACGTGTTGAGGCAGGGTTGACGTGTTGAGGCAGGGTTGACGTGTTAAGGCAGGGTTGACGTGTTAAGGCAGGGTTGACGTGTTAAGGCAGGGTTGACGTGTTAAGGCATGGTTGTGTTAAAGGTTGACGTGTTAAGGCAGGGTTGACGTGTTAAGGCAGGGTTGGGCATATCATTCTGTTCCAGGTCACGGTGATAAATTATTCCAATATGACCTTGATGGTCCAGCTGATTGTTGGTGTCAATGCCTACAACATGGACGGAAGATTGCGGTGACATAAATGCCTACTGACTGACTGTCAATATGCTCCCCCGATATTGTTGGTGTGATCAGGCCTGACGGACAGCGTGACGTCATATCGCGATGGCGTGGGTCGTGTTATTGTCCCCGCATTGTCCGCTCCAGAGCTGACTGTCAATATGCTCCCCCGATATTGTTGGTGTGATCAGGCCTGACGGACAGCGTGACGTCATATCGCGATGGCGTGGGTCGTGTTATTGTCGCATTGTCCACTCCAGAGCTGACTTAATATGCTCCCCGATATTGTTGGTGATCCGCTGACGGACAGCACGTCATATCGCGATGGCTGGGACTCCACTCCAGTCAATATGCTCCCCGATATTGTTGGTGTGATCAGGCCTGACGGACAGCGTGACGTCATATCGCGATGGCGTGGGTCGTGTTATTGTCCCCGCATTGTCCACTCCAGAGCTGACTGTCAATATGCTCCCCCGATATTGTTGGTGTGATCAGGCCTGACGGACAGCGTGACGTCATATCGCGATGGCGTGGGTCGTGTTATTGTCCCCGCATTGTCCACTCCAGAGCTGACTGTCAATATGCTCCCCCGATATTGTTGGTGTGATCAGGCCTGACGGACAGCGTGACGTCATATCGCGATGGCGTGGGTCGTGTTTTTGTCCCCGCATTGTCCGTTCCAGAGCTGACTGTCAATATGCTCCCCCGATATTGTTGGTGTGATCAGGCCTGACGGACAGCGTGACGTCATATCGCGATGGCGTGGGTCGTGTTATTGTCCCCGCATTGTCCGCTCCAGAGCTGACTGTTTACAGGAAACAGTAGTTTGGCAGGGGCGTTGGAGGAGGCAGTGTTGAACCACCGGGTCTTACTTTTTATAATTAAATGTATTACCGGCAGAGTAGGGCATGTATATGGGTAAACTAATATCCCAAATATTATGCATCTTTCCAGGTTTTGAAAATACTGTATCACCATCACCTGCAGGGTTGCCAACATGGACGTGCTGGTAGAGCTATATCATTATGCAGTCTGATTTACTTGGGGGGACAGGCCGTCAGTATTGTATGACATGAGGCATCAATGTATTTTAAAGTCAGGTGTTTATACTAAGTGAAGTACTTATTTTAGAACATTTTCAAGAATGACAATTTCGAAAATAACTTTGTGGTCTCACATCTCCGACACCAACACATCTAGAAATGGTCCCAGTCGACTGAAACGTCAACTGCTTAATATCCTTTTTTCAAACAATGATTGTACATTCATAGAAATGATTTAAATTTCTTTTGATTCAGTTTTAGTGCACTACAAGCATCGTTCATCTTTGTGAGGCTGGCTGCAGACAGAAGGACTGATGCAGATACGGCATCGTGATGGAGAATCCTGGCAGATTTGAAGGTATGGTCACCATCGACTCTAAGCAAGGTGATGTCAGCTCAACTGACCTGCTGTAGCTGTAGCATCTTCTCTTCATTGTGCTGGAAATAGAATCACTGGGCTTGTTGTAGGGGAGCTGATCACATGTATAGTATCTGGTCGTTATCTTGGATAAAGTATTAACGAAAGGAGTAATGATTCACCATGTAAACCAACCACTCTGCTGGAACAAATCTTATAGAGCAGGATATCACGAATTATGTGTACTGCAATAGTTGATGGTTGTCAAGGAGATACGTAGCTATGTCTCCTGGTGGATGGATATGTGTGTAAGGTGTACACGTGTAAGTATGTGTGCGCGTGCGTGTGTGTCTGTGTGCGTGTTACCCGTGTATTCCTGCACTGCTAAGAATCTATGGTGCCTCTATGAGTACTGAAGCCTGAATCCGCGCCATTCTCCTCAACCCCCTCTCTACCACCTCTCACCCTCCCTCACCCATCCCAGCTCTTTGTGATGTATAGTGCATCTTTCTTTACTTAAGTGCGTCACATATCATTAAATTTGTCGGGTTATATTGCCACTAATATCAAGAGTTGCATATCAGAAAAACTCAACTTGTAAGTGTCTGTCTTAGCTGAGCTACAGCTTCTTTTTAGGCAAAACAAACACGCATGGTTTGAACATATATTTGATGTTGCAGAGACAACAGAGAGCGCTTCCTCTCCTCCTCCATCTTCGGAAGGTGAAGGTCACATCAATGTCGATCATGTCCCTCCTCCACTCCACGCGGCGAGTTCTGACAGTGACCTCCACGTCGCCTGTAAAAGAGGCAAGTTGCATCAAGTCCAACACCTGGTGTCCAGCGGTCAAACTGACGTGAACGCTGAAGGGCGGGTCGGCAGGACACCGGTGATGCTAGCAGCCAGGTGTGGACATGAGGAGGTGTTCCACTTCCTTGTTACAAACGGAAGTGACGTAACTCGCGTGAGCAATGATGATGACAACATTCTCCACTTCGCCTGTTTGGGAGGTAATATAGAGATAGTGAAATACATCCTCTCACAAAACTTTATAGATATAAACAGTCGAGGGAAGTTCGGACGAACACCAGTCATGAAAGCGGCATGGGGTGGGCATGTTAGTCTGTTTGATCTCCTGGAGAGGGTTGGAGCGGATCTATCTCTAGTGAGCGAACAAGGCGACACCATCTTACACCTGGCCTGTCATAGAGACAATGTGCCTATGGTCAAGCACATCCTGTCTAAGCACATTGTCGGCGTCAACTGCCGGGGAATGAATGGGCGGACACCCGTGATGATTGCGGCGATGTATGGACACAGGGGCGTGTTAAATGTACTTGTTGATGATGGTGGTGATGTATCACTTGTGGACTCTAATGGTGAAAACGTCCTCCATGCGGCGTGTCGGGGTGGAAGTAACAACATGGTACTCCATTTTCTCTCTAAACGCATCGCCCGTATCAACAATAAATCAGGCAACGGACAGACGCCATTGATGCTTGCAGCAGAGGGAGGTCACAGAGGTGTGTTCGACTTGCTGGTCAGTAAAGGAGCTGACTTGTCGCTAAAAGACACTAGCAACAATAACATACTTCACATGGCGTGTCGTGGTGGATGTGTGGAGATTGTACGACGTGTCATCTCCGACAACATTGCTGGAATCACCAGTACAGGGAGCAATGGACGCACGCCGCTGATGTTTGCAGCAGAGAGGGGTCACACAACAGTAATTGATGTACTTAAACAGCATGGGTGTGATTTGTCTGTGACTGATGCCGATCGCAACAACCTCCTCCACATAGCCTGTCTTGGAGGCCATGATGAGACGGTGCTGTATGTCCTCAGTCTGGATCTGTTTGACATCAACTGTCGGGGGAAGGGGGGACGGACGCCACTCATGGTGGCAGCTTTAGCGGGAAACAGACAAGTGTTTGATGTCCTCGTTCGTAAAGGCGGTGACCCATCCTTGGTGGACGATGACGGTAACAACATCCTACACATCGCTTCCTTGGGACATGATGTAGAAATGGTGAAATATGTCCTCTCACTGAGTAATGCTGACATCAACAGCAGAGGCAGGTACGGGAGGACTGCGGTGATGCTAGCTGCCGAGTCTGGACATCGAGATGTGTTTTACTTTCTTGTCTGTAAAGGAAGTGACCTGGAATGTGTTGACGACAACGGCGACAGCATCCTTCATGTTGCCTGTATTGGAGGACACGTGACGATGGTGGAGTGTATCATCTCTCTGGACATCGTAGACATCAACAGTGGAGGTCAGTACGGGGGAACGCCGCTGATGGCAGCAGCTGAGGGGGGGACACAGAGACGTGCTGGACTTGCTCATCAGTAAAGGTGGTGACGTGTCTCTGGTGGATGACTACAACAACAACATCCTCCACGTGGTGTGTATCGGCGGCAACACAGACATTGTGAAGTATATCCTGTCCAAGCATGTCGTGGACATCAACAGCAGAGGCGAGTACGGCCGAACCCCTGTCATGATCGCCGCTCGCTGGGGTCATAAAGGAGTGTTTGACCTGCTGGTCAGCAGAGGCGGCGATGTGGCACTGGTCAGTGACCACGGGGACAACATCCTCCATGTGGCTTGCTATGGAGGTCACGTGGACATGGTGAAGCACATCCTGTACAAATACCATGTACACCTGGACACCAGGAACCAGTACGGGCGGACAGCAGTGATGGTCGCGGCTCGCATGGGTTATGTGAGCGTGGTGGACCTTCTGATCAGACGGGGAGCCGATGTGTCTGTCGTCAATGACGAAGGCGATAACCTGCTGCACGTTGCCTGCAGCGGCGGCCACCTGGAGATGGTGGAGTACGTGGTCCTGCGCGACTTGGTCGACATCAACTGTACAGAACTCCTGGGAATGACACCGCTCATGTTGGCAGCAAAGCATGGGCACATTAAGGTGCTTGACTTTCTCGTCAGTGAAGAATGTGACGTGTCTGTGTTGACAGTGAATGGGGACAACGTCCTCCATGTTGCGTGCAGTGGAGGGAATGAGAGGATGGTGAACCACATCATCCAGATGGACATGGTCGACGTGGCGGCGAGAAACCACTTCGGGTCTACAGCTGCCATGGTAGCCAGAGAACAGGGTCACCAGTCTCTCTCCGACAGCATGTCCACGTGATGCTGGTCATCTCTGTCCACTCTGTCCCAGCAGGACATCCACCCATATGATGAGATGTACAGATCCCTGGTGACGGGAAAATAGTTCTATATAGTATCAAAACTGCAAATATTTCGATTTCGTTGTCCTTTTGTTTCCTGTTTTACTAGCTGTGCTTTTTTTCTGTAAAACAAGTATATGATTAGTAAATTAAAATCACATAACGAGAATGGTGTTTTTGTCTCTAAACCCAACCATGATCCTGATACTACAGACGTATACACGCTTGCTGTGTGACTGAGCGTGATGCGTGTATTGTATATAACTGGCAGACCATGAACGGAGTGTGCCTGTTTAATAATTCGACAATATGTGTGCCACCGCTGACAGAATGCATACCTTGTGTTGTCATGATCCACATGTATGCATGTCCATAGCCGGGATCGCTGCACGTGTTGACACTGTGCTGACGGGGAGAGGCAATCACCAGCCGTTATGTAGTTGTCAGCTCAGGGGACTAAAATACTTGAACCTTTTCAAACATTTCAATGTGAGTTAGAAAGCCTTTAAGATACTACATAAACTTAATGCTCGATGACGTGAGACTCTGTAAGGAAACCGTATTATCGATTGAGAATGTCAGATAATGGATCTATACAACGGTCCGCGCACAGTTGTGAATGGCCGGGACAGGGCTTAACAAACACACGTATACACACACTCTCTCACACGTATGCACCCTCCCCCATACGTACACACACACTTTCTTTCGCACGTACATACAGTCTCTATCGCACGTATACACACACTCTACCTCTCACACACGTATACACCCTCCCCATACGTACCCCATACGTACACTCTCTCTAGCACACGTATACATACAGTCTCTATCACACGTATACACATGCTCTCTCTGACAAAAACTCTTCTCTCTACCTCCCTCCCCTCTCTCTCCCTCTCTCTCTATCTCTCTCCCTCTCTCTCTCACTCTCAGTCTCCCTCTCTCTCCCTCTCCCCTCTCTCTCCACTCCTATTTAACCAAGTTAACAACGTTAAATATATTAATGCAGCTGCTGTTATGACGTACATGGTAATACTATTCATTCCATATTTCTTACAAACGCAACATATATATAGATTTTATCCTCCAGTCCTCCACTGGACGCATAGCGTCTACACATACAATGAGCTAATACTGGATACAGTTTGATTAAATCTGTTTTATATTCGACAGTCATGTTATGGCGGTATACAGCAACATCCCATCTTCGTGGCGGCGTCCACATGACATGGCACCCACATAGTACTACAACTTGTACTTTACCAAGAAAGGATAATAGAAAATATATTATTAACATGATGTTACGTCTAGCCACTTTCAGAAAGGTGTTGTGTATTCCTAATACCAGTCTGTACTGCCAGGAATAGGACCCGACAATCCAGTGATTGATATTAAGATCAACACTTCAGGTAAAACGACGCTCTGACAAACACGTGACTGAGTCGAACCAAATCTGTTCACAACATTTGGATCACTGAGGTCCGTATTTTTTTGGAATCATGCATTGCGTCCTGCTTCTTATCTTTGTGTGTTCAATAAACAAAAATATTCAGCCACTAGCTCGACCGGAAAACCAATGACAAGGCGTAACGTGAGTTTTTGAAGTGAGTATAAAGCGCCTGCTGTATGGCCGTGTCACGTGACGAGCTTCACGTGGAGCGGGTCTGTTGTAATAGTGTTTGCGTATTTGTTAGTGATTTGTAATCTGTAATCGATGATTTGCCACCCTTGATTCAAGACGTACAGGACTGAGGTCGACATACACAATTACTGACTTGCTCGGGCACCAGTGTAACTTCTTTTCTTCAGAAGACTTTCCCTCACAGTTAAGCAGCATTTGTTATTTCAATAGACAAACACACACTGGGGGACATGTCGTGGTGAAGTGGCTCTTGTACAGTACTTTCGGGAACAAATAAGGCGTGGAGACATTTCTATATAACGTCCTTAACGTATTTAATGTAACTTGTCGGCGCGTGAATATTGTCAAACCTTTCCAAGGTGGACAAAAAGCAGTGACGATTTGTCTCTGTTCAGAGCGCAATTGCTATCATAAAGTACATACTTCACATTGCATCAATGCATCAGCCATTCCATTGAGCTGCACGTTCATTGAGGAATTATCATGCCTTACTTGAACGTGACAGATGCACCGTGGTTTAGGTACAACTACAGAAGTACATCTACACCGACATGGGCCACATCTACACCGACATGGGCCACATCTACACCGACATGGGCCCATCTACACCGACATGCGCCACATATACACCCACATGGACCACATCTACACCGACATAGACCACATCTACACCCACATGGACCACAGTTACACCGACAAGGGCCACATCTACACCTACATGGACCACATCTACACAGACATGGTCCACATCTACACCCACATGGACAACATTTACACCCACATGGGCCACATCTACACCGACAAGGGCAACATCTACACCGACATGGACAACATCTACACCCACATCGACAACATTTACACCCACATGGGCCACATCTACACCCTCATGGACCATATCTACACCAACATGGACCACATCTACACCCACATGGAAAACATATACACCAACATGAACAACATCTACACCTACATGGACCACATCTACGCCCACATGGACCACATCTACACCCACATGGACCACATCTACACACACATAGACCACATCTACACCCACAAGGACCATATCTTAACCGACATGGACCACATCTACACCGACTAAGGCCTCATCTACTTCTACAAAGGCAATATCTACGCCCACATGGGCCACATCCACACCGACATGGGTCACATCTACACCTGCATGAACCACATCTACTCCTACATGGACCACATCTACGTTCACATGGACCACATCTACACCCACATGGACCACATCTACATCGACTAAGGCCACATCTACTGCTACAAAGGCCACATCTACACCAACATAGACCACATCTACACCTACATGGACCACATCTGCACTCACTTGGACCACATATACACCCACATCGACAACATTTACACCCACATGGGCCACATCTACACCCTCATGGACCATATCTACACCCACATAGACCACATCTACACCCACAAGGACCATATCTTAACCGACATGGGCCACATCTACACCCACATGAACCACATCTACACCCACAAGGACCATATCTTAACCGACTTGGACCACATCTACACCCACATCGACCATATCTACACCCACATGAACCACATCTACAACGACATGGACGACATCTACACCGACATGGACCACGTCTACACCCACATGGATAACATCTACACCTATATGGACCACATCTACACCCACATGGATCACATCTACACTCACATGGGCCACATCCACACCGACATGGACCACATCTACACCCACATGGACCACATCTACACCTACATGGACCACATCTAGACCGACATGGGCCAAAAATACACCCACATGGACCACATCTACACCTATTTGGACCACATCTACAGCCACATGGACCATATCTACACCTACATGGGCCACATCTACACCTACATGGGCGACATACACCGACAAATGCCACATCTACACCTATATGGACCACATCTACACCCACATGGACCATATCTACACCTACTTGGGCCACATACACCGACAAATGCCACATCTACACCTACATGGACCACATCTACACCCACATGGATAACATCTACACCTATATGGACCACATCTACACCGACATGGACCACTTCTACACCTGCATGGACAACATCTACAACGACATGGACGACGTCTACACAGACATGGACCACGTCTACACCCACATGGATAACATCTACACCTATATGGACCATATCTACACCCATATGGACCACATCTACAGCCACATGGGCCACATCTACACCTACATGAACCACATCTACACCTACATGGACAACATCTAGACCGACATGGGCCAAATACACACCCACATGGACCACATCTACACGCACATGGACCACATCTACACCCATATGGACCACATCTACACCCACATGGACCACATCTACACCCACATGAACCACATCTACACCTACATGGACAACATCTAGACCGACATGGGCCAAATACACACCCACATGGACCACATCTACACCCACATGGACCACATCTACACGCACATGGACCACATCTACACCTATATGGACCACATCTACACCAACATGGACCACATCTACACCGACAAATGCCACATCTACACCTACAAGGACCACATCTACACCCACATGGATAACATCTACACGCACATGGACCACATCTACACCCATATGGACCACATCTACACCCACATGGACCACATCTACACCCACATGAACCACATCTACACCTACATGGACAACATCTAGACCGACATGGACCAAATACACACCCATATGGACCACATCTACACCCACATGGACTACATCTACACCCACATGAACCACATCTACACCTACATGGACAACATCTACACCTACTTGTGCCTCATACACCGACAAATGCCACATCTACACCTACAAGGACCACATCTACACCCACATGGATAACATCTACACCTATATGGACCACATCTACACCTATATGGACCACATCTACACCGACATGGACCACATCTACACCGACATGGACCACTTCTACACCTGCATGGACCACATCTACACGGACATGGGCCACATTTACACCCACTTTGGCAACATCTACACCCACATGGGCCACATTTACACCCACTTTCGCAACATCTACACCCACATCGACAACATCTACACCCACATGGACCACATCTACACCCTCATTGACCACATCTACACCCACATGGACCACATCTACGCCAACATGGACCACATCTACACCCACATGGACCACATCTACACCTATATGGACCACATCTACACCTACATGGGCCACATACACCGACAAATGCCACATCTACACCTAGATGGATCACATCTACACCCACATGGACCACATCTACACCTACATGGACCACATCTACACCGACTAAGGCCACATCTACTGCTACAAAGGCCACATCTACCCCAACATAGACCACATCTACACCCACATGGACCACATCTAAACCTACATTGACCACATCTGCACCCACTTGAACCACATCTACACCAACATGGACCACATCTACACCCACATGGACCACATCTACACCCACATGGACCACATCTACACCCACATGGACCACATCTACGCCCCCAAGGACCACATCCACACATACATGCACCACATCTACACCGACTAAGGCCACATTTACTGCTACAAAGGCCACATCTACATCAACATAGACCACATCTACACCGACATGGACCAGATCTACACCCTCATTAACCACATCTACACCAACATGGACCACATCTTCACCCACATGGACCACATCTACAGCCACATGGACCAAATCTACACCTACATAGGCCACACCTACACCTACATGGGCGACATACACCGACAAATGCCACATCTACACCTATATGGACCACATCTACACCCACATGGACCATATCTACACCTACTTGGGCCACATACACCGACAAATGCCACATCTACACCTATATGGACCACATCTACACCCACATGGATAACATCTACACCTATATGGACCACATCTACACCGACATGGACCACATCTACACCGACATGGGCCAAATCCACACCGACATGGACCACTTCTACACCTGCAAGGACAACATCTACAACGACATTGACGACGTCTACACAGACATGGACCACGTCTACACCCACATGGATAACATCTACACCTACATGGACCACATCTACACCGACTAAGGCCACATCTACTGCTACAAAGGCCACATCTACCCCAACATAGACCACATCTACAACCACATGGACCACATCTACACCTACATTGACCACATCTGCACCCACATGGACCACATCTACACCAACATGGACCACATCTACACCCACATGGACCACATCTACACCGACATGGACCACATCTACACCCACATGGACCACATCTACGCCCCCAAGGACCACATCCACACATACATGGACCACATCTACACCGACTAAGGCCACATTTACTGCTACAAAGGCCACATCTACACCAACATAGACCACATCTACATCGACATGGACCACATCTACACCCTCATGAACCACATCTACACCAACATGGACCACATCTACACCCACATGGACCACATCTACAGCCACATGGACCAAATCTACACCTACATGGGTCACACCTACACCTACATGGGCGACATACACCGACAAATGCCACATCTACACCTATATGGACCACATCTACACCCACATGGACCATATCTACACCTCCTTGGGCCACATACACCGACAAATGCCACATCTACACCTACATGGACCACATCTACACCCACATGGATAACATCTACACCTATATGGACCACATCTACACCGACATGGACCACATCTACACCGACATGGGCCACATCCACACCGACATGGACCACTTCTACACCTGCATGGACAACATCTACAACGACATTGACGACGTCTACACAGACATGGACCACGTCTACACCCACATGGATAACATCTACACCTATATGGACCACATCTACACCCACATGGGTCACATCCACACAGACATGGGCCAAATATACACCCACATGGACCACATCTACACCCACATGGACCACATCTACACCTATATGGACCACATCTACACCCACATGGACCATATCTACACCTACTTGTGCCACATACACCGACAAATGCCACATCTACACCTACAAGGACCACATCTACACCCACATGGATAACATCTACACCTATATGGACCACATCTACACCTATATGGACCACATCTACACCGACATGAACCACATCTACACCGACATGGACCACTTCTACACCTGCATGGACCACATCTACACGGACATGGGCCACATTTACACCCACTTTGGCAACATCTACACCCACATGGGCCACATTTACACCCACTTTGGCAACATCTACACCCACATCGACCACATCTACACCTACATGGACCACATCTACACCCACATTGACCACATCTACACCCACATGGACCACATCTACGCCAACATGGACCACATCTACACCCACATGGACCACATCTACGCCCACATGGACCACATCTACACCCACATGGACCACATCTACACCTATATGGACCACATCTACACCTACATGGGCAATATACACCGACAAATGCCACATCTACACCTAGATGGATCACATCTACACCAACATGGACCACATCTAGACCTACATGGACCACATCTACACCGACTAAGGCCACATTTACTGCTGCAAAGGCCACATCTACACCAACATAGACCACATCTACACCGACATGAACCACATCTACACCCACATGGACCACATCTGCACCCACATGAACCACATCTACACAAACATGGACCACATCTACACCCACATGGACCATATCTACACCCACATATACCACATCTACACCCACATGGACCACATCTACACCCACATGGGCCACATCTACACCCACATGGACCACATCTACACCCACATGGGCCACATCTACACCCACATGAACCACATCTACACTCACATGAATCACATCTACACCCACATGGACCACATCTACACCCACATGGACCACATCTACGCCAACATGGACCACATCTCCACCTTCATGGACCACATCTACACCCACATGGGCCACATCTACACCTACATGGGCCACATACACCGACAAATGCCACATCTACACCTACATGGGCCACATACACCGACAAATGCCACATCTACACCTACATGGGCCACATACACCGACAAATGCCACATCTACACCTACATGGATCACATCTACACCTACATGGACCACATCTACACCGACTAAGGCCACATCTACACCAACATAGACCACTTCTAGATCGATATGGACCACATCTACACCGACATGGACCACATCTACACCCAGAAGGACCACATCTACACCCACATGGACCACATCTACACCTACATTGACCACATCTAAGCCTACATGGACCACATCTACACCCACATGGACCACATCTGCACCTGCATGGACCACATCTTCACCCACATGGGCCACATACACGGACAAATGCCACATTTACACCTACATGGACCACATCTGCACCCACATGGCTCACATCTACACCCACATCGACCACATCTGCACCGGTCAAATATCAAAGTTTATTGTCTCAATCTTTTCACAAATGTATTTCTTCCAGAACTTTATTTAACCCCGGACAAAGAATAATTCCTATCGGGGGTCTTTAAATATCCCTGTTTAAAACAGACAATGAAGTGACTGACATCATGAGCATCGATCTATAATCGATCTGGGATATAATTACATGCATCAACCCAGTCAGCGAGCCTGACCACGTCCTGTAAGTCGACTCTTACGACAAACATAGATAAGGACGAATGTGACGGAGTGTTTGGTGTCAGATGAATGACAAAACTTTGGAATGAATTAATTATAAATTAACAATACTTCTGAGTGAAGGATTGGTACATGCACAAATAGGTGCATACATCGTCTCTGCTCGAATGCAGTCCAGAAGGACAGGGTGCAGTAACGAATGTCTACATGCAGTAACATTATTCATTGACAACTTGCTGACGCCAAAGAACTATTCATTGTCGGTCGACCACGTACATTCACAGTTTAATAATGCAAGCTATCAGGATATTACGTACATGTTGTCTGTTTACTGCGATTATACGCTCAGTAGGCGCTACTGACCCCGCCGAGCCGCCTGATCAAGACAAGCAGGTGAGACAGACAGGTAAGCAGTTCTTAGGATTAACTGAGATTAACAGAGAAAAGTCGATTGATTCTACAAACAAAGCAGGACAACAGGTAACTCTGAAGGTCATCATGACACAATATTATGGATATTTACCACAGAACGAAATGTAGATACATGACATTGTATATAGATTTACATTGTGAATGGTGTTTTATGATAGAATATTGCATCAATACCATAGCATAAAAAACTCATAGAAGGACTTGAGTCCAGAGTGTAATGTGTTTGACAGACGTAGTAATCACTGCCTATGTTTCTGTCAGGATGTCCTGTACCACCAACAACGCGGATCTGTACGGTGCCTGCTGCTCGGGGAGCGTGGATGAAGTCACTCGCATCTTACGGCGAGATGGAGTTGACATCAACACCCAGTGGTCAAACGGCAGGACACCAGTGATGGCAGCAGTAGATGGCCAGCACGTGGACCTGTTTAAGCTACTCCGCCGGAAGGGAGCCGATCTGTCGGCAGTGGATAAAGACAATAACACCATTCTGCATATTGCCTGCGTCAGAAATAATCTAAAAATAGTCAAGTTGATTCTCTCTGAAGGAAATATTGACATCAATGTAAAAGGCAAAAGCGGATTGACGCCGGTGATGTTGGCAGCACGTCATGGGTGCAAACACGTCTACTTGGAACTTGTAAACAACAAACACTGCGACATGAGACTTGTTGGAGATGACGGTGACAACCTTCTCCACCTGGCATGTCTTAAAGGCCATCTGTTTATTGCTGAAGATCTGCTCTCACGTCGGATATTCAATATCAACTGTAGAGGGAACTTGGGCAGGACACCGCTAATGAAGGCAGCGTGGGCGGGTACCAAACGGATTTTCGACCTGATCGTAGAGAAAGGAGGCCAGACGTCGCTGCTGGGTGACAAGGGGATGAACATCCTCCACGTGGCCTGTGCTGGAGGAAAGGTACACATTGTACAGCATATCCTCTCAAAACGCATTGTAGGCATCAACAGTAGGAGGAATGATGGAAGAACGCCCTTGATGGTTGCTGCAGAGTATGGACACAAAGACGTGTACAACTTACTCTTACGAGACGGAGGAGACAGATCTCTGGAAGACTTTGATGGCAACAACATCCTCCACGTGGCGTGCAGGGGCGGCAACGGGGAGTATGGTGCAGCACACATGTGAAAGAAACCAGCGACACAGGGCCCTCATCCATGGCACGGACAGAAAGGGGAGGACTCCTCTGATGGCGGCAGCCGAGACGGGGCACAAGGAGGCCTTTGAGGTCGTCAGGCGTAAAGGAGGGGACATCACCATTAGAGACTGCTTTGGGAACAAGCTTATTTATGTTGCCTGTGTGGGAGGGGGATCTACCAATGATAATGCACATCGCTTCACTGGATGTTACGGATGGACTGAATGATGGGAGGATGTTGATCCTTGCGGCAGAGAGTGGCCGTAAGGATGTTTTCGATTTTCTTATGGGTGAAGGATGCGATTTGTCTCTTGATGATGATGAAGAAGATACTGTGTTCCATGCAGCCTGTCGTGGAGGTCATGTGGATATGGTGGAATATGTACTCTCAAGGTTCAACTTTGACGTCAACAAAAGGGGGAAATACAAGGGGCGAACTGCCATGATGATGGCAGCTGAGAATGGCAATATAGAAGTGTTCAAGTACCTGTTGACAAAACAGTGTGATGTGTTTGTGTTGGATGAGGATGACGACAACATCCTCCACGTGGCGTGTATGGGAGGACACACAGAGATGGTGAAGTATATTGTCTCTGAAGGGTATTTTGATATCAACTGTAAAGGAAAACATGGCCGCACTCCCATGATGATGGCGGCTGAGTTTGACAACATTGACGTCTTCTACTTCACAGTGTGTAAAGGGGGCGATGTTTCACACGTTGATGCTGATGGAAGGAACATCCTACATTTGGCCTGCTTAGGAAACAATGTGAAGATGGTGAATGAACTCCTGAAACTTGAACTTGTTGACATCGACACGAGAGACCGCCGAGGACAGACACCAGCCATGTTGGCGGCACGTCAGGAAACAGACCCGTGTTGGACCTACTCACGAGAGAACATGCACGTCTTCTACTCGTGGACAGTTATGGTGATGATATGCTCCAACTGGCCTGCATCCGAGATAATGCGAGCATTGTCAACTATCTACTGTTCAAACACCTTTTCAACATCAACAGCGCTGGGCGAGAGGGAAGGACGCCATTAATGGTGGCAGCCAACCGCGGTTGTAAAGTTATATTTGACTTACTTGTGAAAAAAGGGGGGCGACATGAAGCTGGTGGATGATTACAATAACAACATACTGCATCTGGCTTCTAGTGGAGGAAACAAGGACATTGTGGAGAAGGTTCTGATGGAGACGTCTATTGACATCAACAGCAGAGGCCGCTACGGGAAGACAGCAGCCATGGTGGCAGCAGAGGGAGGTCACATAGACGTGTTGGATCTCCTTCTTCAGGAAGGTTGTGATTCAGCTGTTGTTGATGATGACGGTCACAGCATCCTCCACGTCGCTTGTGCTGGAGGGGGATGAGGAATGCAATGTGCAGATGGTGCAGTACCTCCTCCCGCTGCCGGGTGTAGACGTCAAGGATGTAAACAAAAATGGCGCAACAGCAGCAGACATTGCACGAACAAAGAAACATGATCGAATACTGTCGCAGTTTTAGGTATGACGCATGTCACCTGGACAATTGTGTAACTCGATTTATCATCAAAAACTGATTTCGTTTTGACAGTGCAATGCCCTGACAACGATATGGCGTCATGAACTTGATGACGCCACAATGCTATGACATCGCTGCACTGCAAATCTAATGGCAGTACTGTGTTCAGAGATGTACATTTTTAATTAAAAACTAATGAAGAGTGATTTTGATGATAAATAGAATCTCACCCTCGTGTCTTCTGATATCAAATATATCAACATTCGTTGATAAAAGTACAAATATCCTCGGCAAGCCTCGGATATTTGTTACTTCATCAACTCCTGGTGCTATATTGGATATCAAAAGACACTCAGGTGAGATTCTCTATTTATTGTTACTGGTACCGATTGTACATTCGCAGTACATTCAGGAACTGAGTTGTGTCCATTAGGTGTGTCAGGATCAGTTACACATGCTTTCATCTTTCAGATTTACTCTTGTTCTTAAATCACCGTGGCCTGGTCGTGACTTCATCGAGGTGGTAAATGTCACTATCCGACGTTATTTGACTTTCTCCAACACTAAACACTGACACATGTCAGGCATACATTAAAGAGCGACTTTCCCCACGTTCCCGGATGCAGATAGTCTCTAGTCTCTACTTGCACTGGCTGTACATGTGTTCAGTGTGTTCTATTTCTTAGATCCAGTGTGCCTGCACCAAAATGTAAAACATTGTAGTTGGTGTTTTTTGCATGTACGTCTTGCTACTCAACTGCCGCGGATACAATGCGTGATTTTCGTTCCATCACTTGTGACTTTTGGTGCCTTAAAAACCGGTGTAATTCTTATTTCTGAATGCTTTCTGGTAGATAAATTCCATCTGGTAAAGTATGTTTATGTAGTTAAGTAACACAGGTAGGGTCCGCTCACAAAGAATGTGATGAGTGGACTTGAGTTCAGGTCTAATTTAGCTATACCGCATGACATCTTTTTTGAACAGGTATTAAATCTCTGTGGGATATGTCTAAACGTCTTCCCACCACTCTTTTGAAATCAAGATGACCTTTCTAGGCATTCTCAAGATCGACCGCGGAGGTTAGCGTATCCTAGCTTCTCTACCTTCCTTGTTTCTCTAGTGTCACACGTTTGGCCAGTGTCACACAGGGATTCTGTTTCAGGAGTGAGATGAAAAATGAAACAGTAAAATAAAACCATTTGCAATACATGTTCGTCTTTCGTCTGTGTCATGTGGCTGAACACACAACTCCAAGGTGTTTGACAGATGTGAAAAGCTCACTCTTTATTTACGCCTACACGTGGACAGTTATGTTCCCCTGTATAACAAATTCATGTGCAGCAGTAAACGGGCATGTTCCCCGCCAGTCGCCATCAAGTCCAGTCACAGTTTATGCATGAGAGCTGATAAAGGCGTCGTTGTTCACAGTCATTCAATTGCTGGCCGAATGGCAGTAGTCATATAGCTGTTGATGGAACAACTCCCAGGTTAGAAACTGCAGAAAGCTGACATGGTGTGGTCAACACCCTGGTCTCTCGATGTCCAGAATCAGCCGGACAGCAGGGCAACCTGGTGGTTAAGCCGTTCGCTCTCCACAATGGAGGCCGGGGTTCGAGTCCCCGCGTGAAGCCAGGACATAGATACAAGCAGTGTAAAACCATGCTCAATCACTGACTGTTCTTTATGTAACAACTGCTTGCCTTTAGACAGTAACTGTAGACCAGTAACTTCTGGCTTTCTGTTCAGTGAAATACCATGCCTAATAACAACTCTGTGTCGTGTGAGGTTTGACAGTTACAAAAAGACCTTGATTCTGTTGTGAGTTAGTTCGAGGGCTTTTACGTCCCTCTACAGATCTCTAAACTCATTTCCTAGAGCACGACGAATGCACACATTATTTGGATTATTAGGGATTAATACTGACTATGACATATCCCCGCACACTGTACAGCGACATTCATGAACGTTTGACACACACTACAATGTAAGAGTATTAATAGACAGGCTGTACCGGGCCTCCTGATTTCCTTTTATAACGAGGTGCTTCCCGCCAAATCGCCAGCTATCTGTATAGTGGTGTGGCATGTCATTTGCACACACATTTGCACAACTTTGCACATACCTGCACACTCTTGTACGCTCTCGTACATAATGCACTATTGTAGCCCCACCTTACACAGGCGTGTTTGATGATCACGACGTATCTGTGGTACGTATCTGTAATGATGTGTTTGTTGGGTTGGTGTAATACGTTAACACAATGTCAACCCGGTCACCCAGAAACACCCCTGAACCACCACCCTCTCATTGGGTCGGAATCAATGGGGATGTCATCAAACCAGCATGAATCATTTTGATTGTGTGTGTGTGTGTGTGTGTGTCTGTGTTTGTGTTTATGTATGTGTGTGTGTCTGTCTGTCTCTCTGTGTGTGTCTGTCTGTGTATATATGTATGTGTGCGTCTGTCTGTCTCTCTGTCTGTCTGTGTGTGTCTGTTTTTGTATATGTGTGTGTCTCTGTTTGTCTGTCTCTCTGTGTGTGCCTGTCTGTGGATGTATGTATGTGTGTGTCTGTCTGTCTGTGTGTGTGTGTGTCTGTTTTTGTATATGTTTGTGTGTCTATCTGTCTGGTTTGCTGTTGTGTGTGTGGGTGAGTGGGTTTGGGGTTTGGGGGGTCTATGTGGAGGGTTATGTGGGTAGTAGACATACAATGCCGGTACACTGAGACACCGTAACACAGACACTGACACCTCACCCAGACACAGTACAGTGACCTCGAGTCATCACGTGTGAAACTGAACTTACACTACACACGCTTGTTGATTACCTGGGTGTTCTACCAGCCAGTGGCCTCTCTCCAGAGCTCGACTAAACCTGACAATGTGTGTTGTATACTGTACCAGAACATGCCAGGAGACTGACGGCCTGACTGACGGAGATCTGGTCACTGGTGACTCTCGATAGTGAACATATACTTCACTATGGGCCCGGGGCTTCTCTGTTGAACATATTTTTCCCTGTGGGGGCTCGATGTTTTACATACTAGTATATTTCCCTCTGGGGTCTCGATGTTGTACATATTTTCACTGTGGGGTCTCCATATTGTACATGTTTTCACTGTGGGGTCTCCATGTTGTACATATATTTCACTGTGGGAATTCGATGTTGAACATACACTAAGCGCCAAAAGAAACGTTACCCTCCTACCTTTATGAATTACTAGAAAACTATCAAAGACATGTTAGAATGTATTAGTTTACAAGAAAGCTTCACAACACAACTTTATGCAAATCACGGAAAAGAGTTCTCAAATGCATTCTTATTTAGGTGAAATGCATCTTTTTCAGAAGAGTTAAATTGTCCTATTTTCGTCCATGCCGAAATAAACGATGTCCAAAAGAAAGGTTGAAATAGAATTCTGCTTTGGGACAATGATAAACCATGTCAAGTCACCATTTATCAACTATTAAAACAAGAAACAACTGTTGTAGAGTGTGTAAAATTGTATAATAATCATTGCCAGGATTTCCATCTTTATAACATGTTTTGCTGACTTGCATCAGTGAAAACAAGCAAAACGTGTCTTTGATATTGTGAAAAAAATGTTGGTATTTTTGCTTGCAAAGTAACATTTTTCATTTTCTCTTTACACATAACAATATCAATCGCCAAAACGCAGCAATATTCAAGCAGTGTTTGCATCCATTTCACATGCAGAATGATTCTATATGGTATAAAGTGAGCCTAGAAAAGATGATATGATACACAAGTACGAGAAGTATACTACGATTAACAGCTGAAGAAAGAGAACGAGCCATTAGTATTGTGCAGATTGGGTTGACACACAATTTTGTTGCTAACGCCCTCGGATGCCACGGTATCACGGTTATAAGACGTATTCAGGGCTCCAGACAGACTGGGATCACTGGAGACAGACCAGAAGTGGATGTCCACGCATCACAACGCCAGCTGAACATGAGTACCTCCGTCAGGAGGAAGGAGAGTAGCGTTTCTTTCGGCGTTTAGTGTATATTGCACTGTGGGGTCTCGATGTTGTACATATATTCACTGTGGAGCCCCGATGCCGTACATATATACTGGGAACAAAATTTAAGGGAACACCTGTATAAGAAGACACACTTAACTTAAGTCGTGTATGTTTAAGACAATGCTGGATTCGAACCTGATGAACAATCCGAACAAAACTCACCAGACTTAGAGAAGGCATGAAGGAGCTCGTGTTATCGTTGAAGCATGATTTGCACATGCATAATCACTGTATAAAACCTGTCAAGATTATGGTGACATCTGTGTATCAAAATGCCCCCAAAAGTCTATTTAACAAAAAAACAGCGATAGGAAGCTGTTGGCATGGCACATGGTGGCAGACCTGAAAACGAGGTAGCATGTCATTTTGGGAAGTCAAAACGTGTGATTTCCAGCCCGATTGAACAAACACCGACAGGCAGGTGACGTGTCAATTCCACCCGGAAGAGGAAGGCCACGGAAGACAAGAGTCCAACAAGATCGCTTCGTTACAAATATTGAATATTAGAAATCGGTTCATGACAACATACAATTCCGAACAACAACAGGAATACGAATTTCCTGCAGTACAGTGAGAAACAGTCTGCCCAGTTGAAGTCAAGGCGCCCATTCTGTGGAATTCCACTTACTGTGCAACACAAGAGGCTGAGACTAGAGTGGTCTCGACAGTTTGGTAATCGTGACAGGAGGCACTGGCGCTACACGATGTTAACCAACAAGTGAAGGTTCCTGTTGAGATTCATTGATGGTCGACAACGGGTTTGGTGAAGACGCGGAGAGCGCTATCATGACGTCAATGTTCAGGAACATGAGGGACACGGTGGTGAAAGTGTAATGGTGTGGGGTGGAATGATGTTTGACCACAGAACTGATCTTGTGGTTGTCCAGGGATCTTTGAGAGGCCTGCGTTATTTGGGTGAAACTTGTAGAGCATAAGGGAGATTTGCCGCAAAAGATTGGTTGAAACTTTGAGTTCCAGAACTATAATGCTCGACCTCACAGCGAAAGAGTTGCTTTGGATTTTCTCCTGCAGCAGCAGATAAACAGTCTACCTTGGCCTGGCAAATCACCAGATCTCGCACCTATTGAACATTTGTGGGATGACTTGGGGCGCAGGGTTTGCGGCAGACCACATCAACCAGCAAACTTACAGACGCTCGGACAAATCCTACAAGAAGAATGGCGTCAAATTCCAAGGGAGGCCATTTGCTGTCTGATCTCAAGCATGCACAGAAGATGCCAAACATGCATTGATGCCTGAAGCAGCTGGACCAGATACTGACTATTGCTCACACAATGTCACAATTTAGTTCCAATAAATTCCACCATGAGACATCTTAGTGTTCCCTTAAATTTTGTTCCTAGTATATTTCTTTGTAGGTACATGCTGCTGTACATATATATTCTACTGGAATAAAGTAATTGTGCATTATTTTATGGTATGCCATATTTAATGCCATCAGATAGTAACATGTAGGAGGCGATGACAACTGACATGCATGTCTTTTACCAAGGCAGTGACATCATTACAGTGTGACGTCACGAAAATATTGTACTACAGTACAAAACTCTTCCGCAAACTCTTTATGAAACCGGTTTCGGTTTGAAACCAAATACATAAAAATACGCTATTTTGTCAATTTAATGAATGTAAGACGTGGGTAATAAATAGAGAATACTACACTAGGTCTCATTACATACGAATTATACAAAACTCGTGACCTTCCTATGATATCTGACCTCGCTTTCGCTCCGTCAGATACCATAGGAAGGACACTCGATTCGTATAATTCGTATGTAATGAGACCTAGTGTAGTATTCTCTATGTCCCTGCGGAGCCCGTTGTTGTACAGATATGTCCCTGCGGAGCCCGTTGTTGTACAGATATATCCCTCCGGAGCCCGTTGTTGTACATATATATGTCCCTGCGGAGCCCGTTGTTGTACATATATATGTTCCTGCGGAGCCCGTTGTTGTACAGATGAGTTCCTGCGGAGTCCCGTTGTTGTACTCCTATGCCCCTGAGGAGCCCGTTGTTGTACAGATATGTTCCTGTGGAGCCCCGTTGTTGTACAGATATGTTCCTGCGGAGTCCCGTTGTTGTACAGATATGTCCCTGCGGAGCCCGTTGTTGTACAGATATGTTCCTGTGGAGTCCCGTTGTTGTACAGATATGTCCCTGCGGAGCCCGTTGTTGTACAGATATGTTCGTGTGGAGCCCGTTGTTGTACATATATGTCCCTGCGGAGCCCGTTGTTGTACAGATATGTTCCTGTGGAGCCCGTTGTTGTACAGATATGTTCCTGTGGAGCCCGCTGTTGTGGAGATATGTTCCTGTGGAGCCCCGTTGTTGTACAGATATGTTCCCGTGGAGCCCGTTGCTGTACAGATATGTTCCTGTGGAGCCCGGTTTTGTACAGATATGGTCCTGTGGAGCCCCGTTGTTGTACAGATATGTTCCTGTGGAGCCCATTGTTGTACAGATATGTCCCTGCGGAGCCCGTTATTGTACAGATATGTTCGTGCGGAGCCCGTTGTTGTACAGATATGTCCCTGCGGAGCCCGTTGTTGTACAGATATGGTCCTGTGGAGCCCGTTGTTGTACAGATATGTCCCTGCGGAGCCCGTTGTTGTACAGATATGGTCCTGTCGAGCCCCGTTGTTGTACAGATATGTTCCTGCGGAGCCCGTTGTTGTACAAATTGTAATGAGTTCTGGACGTGGATTCTTTGTTCCTTTACGAGTGGGCTTCAGTTTCATACCATATCAATTTTTACGAATGGTCTTCAGTTTCATACCATATCAATCTTTACGAGGATCCATTGTACGATCTGGACCACATCATAAGGATGCATTTATGAGTCACTATCCAGTAAAGATAATGCCATATGTCTGCAAAGTTGTTAGCGTAGCCTGACACAGGTTACAGTCACAGGAGAAGGCTAGTCAGCTGTTTCCCTAAACGTACATTGGTTCTTGCGGAAACAAATCAACTGTCAATGTTGTTTTTTGTTTCCTGTTAAAAGTAGGATATACAAACAAACCTGTAAAGATGCGATCTGTGTCAAAGCAGAAGCAGTTACTTTCAATCTACGCGTGATTTGGAAAACCAGTGGTGCAGAACTCATTCTTTCATTGCCAAGGTGAGTCCAATGCTTATATACATATTACAAACTTGAGTGATATCGGCTTGTTGTTCAAAGCCAAAATCTTCAACGTTCCAGCTATATGACTGTTGTTTGAAAACGACAGCCCAGTGCTGGCAGAGGACTGGTAATGGAGGTGAAGAACAATTTGATATGCCACGGTGGCGCTTATAATGTTGAATGAAATATATTTAACGTGAGTAATTATAAAATATGAGATTGGAAATCTGAGAGCACAACAGTGTGAGGAATGGGTGTCTATCTTTGTTGGTTGCCATATTTATTTTAACATTAAAAATACTTTTCGAACCAAAGCGAGGGAAGTACGTCACCAACTTTTGCTCACTTCGCTCGCATGTATGACAGACTGGTCATTTCTCTCTCTGTTGCACATCCCTATTTGCGCTACAGTTTGTCTGTGCCTTGATACATTAACTCAATTTAGGAGTATAAAAGGTATAACATACAAGGCGCATTACCAGCGAAATGCTTCAAAGTATTAACACAACTCTGACCCCATGATAAAAATGCACGATTTGATGAAACGTGACCATTACAAACAGACATGTTGCGTAGTAGATATTGTAGAAACGTAACACTCGTTCCCCATCATCTGGGTAAAACTAACTTGTCGCTATGTGACATTAATCCAATGTAAAATCTAACAATATAGTTTAAACACCGATCCCCAATGCACTCGCCATATTTTCTTGTTGAATCACAGAACAGCTGAGGATTTGGAATATCCCGTAACAGAGCATTGGTTTGGTAGATAAAATGTTGTATTACAGATCTTTAACGACATTGATAATACACGGGGCTTTTCAACTTTTGATTATCATATCATTATTATGCATGAGTTACGGATATTTAGCGTCATGAGTTGATGAAACTGCATCCACTAACTGGATATATAATGTTGTTTGAGTTCAATTCGTTTCAGTTTCAGGAAGGCAATGTGGTCTGTGAGGATCTTGGTGATTGCACACGTGATTATCACCTCAACATGTGAGCCGATATGTAACGTATTTGTTTGTGACAGAATAGATCAGACATTATCATGGGGTCGTAAACATGCTGGCATCAGAATTGTAATGAGTTGTTAAAAATGATACTATTTGACAATGTTTCTTAGTAACACAGCTTGTCGGTTAGGTGTACCCAACTTGTACCGGTTGAGCTTACGCTAACATCTGCCTCAGCTCTTTTTGGAACAGTCTTGCTGTGTGACCGTTCAAACCTAGAATTAATTCGGGGAACTAGCTTCTGGATCTCCACGCCTGAAAATACAAGCAGAGATGATTTCAGGCAAAACAGGAATCTGTATTAAATATAGGCGAAAGCAACATACATTCAATTAACATTCTATAGTCAACATTCAAATCCATAGTTCATTGTTAAGACAATCATGATACCAGGATCCACACAATATTGGTTTTAACCGATTCATGTATTCTGTTAGATGTGGTTAAATGCATGACAACAGAACGTTTCTAAAGTACGCCACTCTGTGGAAATATCGCGGATCAGTTGTCATTGTCAAGTAGATCGATGACTTTTGATAAAGATCTTTACTTGATACCGCGTCACTGTACTTGTCAAACCAACCAATTCCTTTTTTTTTTTTGTAGTAATATTTCGAGCTGCCGTTAGACCTTTCAGAGATACAGACGTTTCAGCAGCACGGTAAAAATTGAATCAAGTGATCATGTATGAAATACATTACTGACCGATCATTTATAGCGTGATAGAGTGTGATGAATGGACAGGTCGATGCAGTACCAAGTGCCACAGAGGATATTTCGGCCCCATCTGCCTGGATGTTTGCAGCAGAAGGTGCAGGTACCACACGTGTGAGCTGCACCGTGACAAAGGTATTGGGAGATGTACTGATGGTTGTATACCTGGATTCCAGGGTCTCACCTGTCAGAGGCCATGTGACACCCTCCAGGTAGGCTGTACCAGGTGCCCAGGTGGTTGTGATGGGGAGTATTGTCAGGTGGCTGGAGCTTGTTTCTCTGGTTGCAGCCACTCCTACTACGGAGCAGGATGTAAGACATGTTCCAGCAGATGTAAGTCCTGCAACAGGATCACAGGAACCTGTGAGGAGTGTCACCCTCCTTATTCAGGAGTAGAGTGTAGACGCTCATGTGAGAATGTGTTGGAGGATGTGAGAGTGGCTGTAGACAGGGATGCAGACAAGGTTTCTATGGAGACGACTGTACTGATGCCTGCAGTGACACCTGTCGACCTAACCCCTCCCTGACCACGGGTGGACAATGTCCAGGAGGAGATTCGTGTCCACCTGAGTGTCACAGTCAGACTGGTGAGTGTGTCTACGGTTGTGTTGATGGCTGGTATGGCCCCAAGTGTTCACGGCGATGCAACTCTAATTGCCAACACCAGAGGTGTAACCAGGCAGGTGCGTGTGTTGTAGGATGTGAACAGTTCCGATCTGCTTGTGAAGGCTGCCTGAAGCTATGCCTCAACTTCACCTGCGCCTCAATCAACGCCTCTTGTTGCAGTGGTTGCAGTAATGGTACATCTGGTTGTGTGGTTCCGTGTAATGTATGTACTGTATGTCTTGATGAGGTTGTTACAAACTCCGGTGAACACAACATTACCGGGCGTAATAACAACTGCACACACAACGTGTCATCACCTGGCTGTCCTCCGGGATCTTGTCGCACAGGTAAGTAATACTCAAAGGTCTCAAGGACTGCCATACAACAGAGCTCGTAGTTAATTCTGGAATCACAACCTTGAATTGTCCTACATAATATGATCATATTTCAAAGTGAAGCAGCATTTTACAGTTTCACATAAGGAACTGACTGTGTGGAGGTACTGACTTATCTTGAAAACATATATTATATTGAACCGGTAATTACGTATTGTCTACTTTGAGAAAAGAAAAGAAACACACGGTAAATTTAGTTATGAGCCATAGGCTAATACAAATTGTAAGAAATAAAAATCTCTAACGCCAACATACTGACATGATGAATTCCCAGATAATGTTTCAATAACATTTGACCACTTTCAGTAAAAACATAGCTCTGATTTACAGTTATTTATTACTTTCAGATGTTCCACTAATAGACATAGAGACAGTGAAGTATCTGGTGCCGGCTGTCATCTGTATCCTAGCAACAGGTCTGTGTGGTTGCTGCTGCTACCACAGAGGGTTGTCTACAAACAGGTGGGTTACACCATCACCGCCAACTACACAATACTTATATAGTTTGATGAAATTCGTTGATAATTCATGTGATTTTGTTCTGTTTTTACAGACATGATGAGATGTTGTCATTAACGTTAATTTAACCACCATTATGCAATCATTTTGCAGTACAGCCAAGCACGCTCTTTCTATAAACTTTCTACGACTCTCGCTGTACATTGTTGTATCACAGTTCTAACATTCCAGGTCACTTCACGAACTGTAGTGGGAGACATCTTGAAGAGATTTACAAATAAAAAGTAATAGTGTATCCCAGTACAACAATATTGCTTTGTGCATGATCGCATCTTGGGAAACCTTGGTATTAGAACTAACTATAACTGTGTTTACAGGGGATCGGATGTTATTACAAAGCAAACTGTGTATTGACTATATGGTGGAGAGTTGGCTTCAGACTGCTTGTCGATCTCATAGAGTCGGTATTTTCACGCGTCGAAGATTGATATGTAGATAGAGGCGTTGCAGCGTAAGCAATGTTTTTAAGTAAACACATGTCATCGATGAATATTCAATAATGTTTCCAGAAAATAGAAAATGAAATGCAGTGATCGTAAGTGTGAATGGATCCGAATATGGAGTCTGTTATTTGTTTAACAAAGTGGGATCTTGTGTTACAGAAAACATGATACAGCTGATGATGCGGTCGACGTCACGCTGGTACAGACAGACGTCCCCAGCAGTGGGTACATGGCGTTACATCACTACGAGGATGTAAGGGAGGGAGATGTGATTAGTCAGCTCCCAGACCAGAACCAAGGAGACACGAGTACTGAAGAGTGTCGACAACATTCTCTTTCTGAAGTTTCCCTCGACTGATGCTGTAGGCGGTTCATCAGCACTGATAGAATCGCCCTGTCGTCATCTGGCAGTTCCATGTTGATGGCCCGACAACAGACGCACCAGGAACTAAGAAAGCTGCCCCGTTACAGCACTGATCACGACTCTTCGTACAGTGACACGGACATGTTGGTGATTATAGCTAGCAACAATAAACAATAGCTTCCTGAATATATGCTATGTCCCCTGTTTCCAAACTTCCGACAGCTGAAACACGTACCGTGCAACAACATTAACCTTTCCTCTGCGTTAACCATTCACCCCTTGTGTTTGTCTTGTGTCCGACCCTTGCGTTTGTCTTGTGTCTGACCTTTGTGTTTGTCTTGTGTCTGACCTTTGTGTTTGTCTTATGTCCGACCCTTGTGTTTGTCTTGTGTCCGACCCTTGTGTTTGTCTTGTGTCTGACCCTTGTAATTGTCTTGTGTCCGGACCTTGTATTTGTCTTGTGTCTGACCCTTGTGTTTGTCTTGTGTCTGACCCTTGTGTTTGTCTTGTGTCCGACCCTTGTGTTTGTCTTGTGTCTGACCCTTGTGTTTGTCTTGTGTCTGACCCTTGTGTGTGTCTAGTGTCTGACCCTTGTGTTTGTCTTGTGTCTGACCCTTGTGTTTGTCTTGTGTCTGACCCTTGTGTGTGTCTTGTGTCTGACCCTTGTGTTTGTCTTGTGTCTGACCCTTGTGTTTGTCTTGTGTCTGACCCTTGTGTTTGTCTAGTGTCTGACCCTTGTGTTTGTCTTGTGTCTGACCCTTGTGTTTGTCTTGTGTCCGACCCTTTTGTTTGTCTTTTGTCTGGCCCTTGTTTGTCTTGTGTCTGACTTTGTGTTTGTCTTGTGTCCGACCCTTTTGTTTGTCTTGTGTCTGGCCCTTGTTTGTCTTGTGTCTGACTTTTTGTTTGTCTTGTGTCTGACCTTTGTGTTTGTCTTGTGTCTGACCCTTGTGTTTGTCTTGTGTCTGACCCTTGTGTTTGCCTTGTGTCTGACCCTTGTGTTTGTCTTGTGTCTGACCCTTGTGTTTGTCTTGTGTCTGACTTTGTGTTTGTCTTGTGTCTGACTTTGTGTTTGTCTTGTGTCTGACCCTTGTGTTTGTCTTGTGTCTGACCCTTGTGTTTGTCTTGTGTCTGACCCTTGTGTTTGTCTTGTGTCTGACCTTTGTGTTTGTCTTGTGTCCGACCCTTGTGTTTGTCTTGTGTCTGACCTTTGTGTTTGCCTTCTGTCTGACCTTTGTGTTTGTCTTGTGTCTGACCTTTGTGTTTGTTTTGTGTCTGACCCTTGTGTTTGCCTTGTGTCTGACCCTTGTGTTTGTCTTGTGTCTGACCCTTGTGTTTGTCTTGTGTCTGATCCTTGTGTTTGTCTTGTGTCTGACCCTTCCCTGTTTTGTTGGGGTCTTTTGGAGCCAACATTTCCATCTGCCTCCACCTATATGTCTGTATATTGTCGACCCCGGGAGCTGTACCAGGGAATCCAGTTATTTATAGCATCAACATTGATCTACGCCTTTAGGACACGATGACATGCAAATCACAAACAACAAAGAAATGTAACGTTGTGGGCAATTTGTATTCCAAAATAACCGAAGTTAACACATCAACACAATATGCTGCAAGGTTATTGGAATGGCAGTACATTAAAGAGTGTAATTACAAATTTCATGACAGGACACAAACAACAGAACGTAAAACATAGATTATAGAACGTAAAAACAGAGATTATAGAACGTAAAAACAGAGGTTATAGAACGTAAAAACAGATATTATAGAACGTAAAAACAGAGATTATAGAACGTAAAAACAGAGATTATAGAACGTAAAACAGAGATTATAGAACGTAAAAACAGAGATTATAGAACGTAAAAACAGATTATAGAACGTAAAAACAGAGATTATAGAACGTAAAAACAGAGATTTTAGAACGTAAAAAAAGAGATTATAGAAC